TTTTTTGAGACAGGTTCTTGCTAAGTAGTTCAGGCTGGCCTTGAACTCACTATGTAGCACAGGCTGGCCTCGAACTCACTGTGCTCTTCCTGCTTCAGCCTCCTGAGTACTGGAATTATAGGCATGCACTACCATGTTGAGTGTAGATCATTATCTAGCCTGCATAAATCTCTAGATTCAATTCCCAGTACTGAAAAAAAAATTAATTGAAAATAGGTAAATGTATAAAATCCAACAATAGTCCGTGAATGCTGGATATAGGATTTGATGAATTTATTATAGTATTTATAAATTATTTAACTGTAAAACTTACTATAGATGTGGGGTTTTTTGTTAATGTTTGTTTTGTTGGGGTTTTTTTTTGTTGTTGTGTTTTGGTTTGGTTTGTTTTTTGAGACAGGGTCTCACTATGTAGTTGAGACTGACCTGGAACTCACTATGTAGCCCAGGTTGGTCTTGAACTCACAGGATTCTTCTGCCTCGGCCTCCCAAGTGCTGGGATTACAAGCGTGTACCACCATACCTGTCTGTTTTGTTTTGTTTTGTTTTGTTTTTGAGACAAGGTCTTGATCTGTAGTTCAGATTGGTCTTGAACTCACTGTATAGCCCAGCCTGGTCTCAAAATTGCAGTGATCCTACTGCCTCAGGCTCCCCAGTGCTAGGATGACAGGTATGTGCCACCACGCCTGGCTACTGTAGAGTTAGTAAATTTTAGCCTAGAAGGTTAAGGCACAGAAAAGGGTAATCTGGGGCAGAGGAAAAGATAAAAATTGTACTATCTTTCCTGTGATAGGCCTTATTTTTTCATCTCTTTTGTAATCCTGACTAGACACTAGTTTAATTGGTTAAAGGAACTTTTTGCTTCCTTGCTTATTTTTCTCTCTTGGGTCACCTAATCCCGGCCTTAGAGCTTACCAGGTTCTGTCATTTGTTTCATGTTAGTGACAGAAAATTACTAGATTTTTGCGAGATGGCAGACTTTTTTTTTTTTTTTCGATTTTTTATAGGGGTTTAAGTGATGTCCACATTCAGAAAATAATGTATTATAGTCATCTTAAATCCAGGTTGTAGCTCAGTGGTGGAATGCCTGCCTAGCATTTGTGAGGCCCTGGCCTTGTGTTACAAATAATAATAATAAAAGCTAGATGCGCTGGCACTCAACTGTAATCCCAGCATTCTGAGAGTCAGGAGGATCACAAGTTCATCACAAATTCAAGCTCAGCCTTGACAATTTAGTAAGACCCTGTCTCAAAATACAAAGGGTGAGGATGTAGTCAGTACAGTACCCTAGATTCAGTCCCCATTACCACGAACAAACAAAATGAAATGCTGAGATCCTATGTAAACTTAGACAAGTAAAACTTCATTTTAGAACAGTAGATTTTTTTGTTGAAGTACCAGGTTTTGACTTCAGTGTTACATTAACTCATTTGTGCTCCTTAAACATTTTACTTAAACACTTACTGTGTACAGACTTACATCTTAATTTCCAATTATTATAAAGGAAATGAGAATTTACCAGAAACATTTAAATGGAGAAATTAACTATATATTTTTTTCCAGTAGAATTTACTTCTGTATTGAAACTGGATTTTGGTACCTATTAATCTAATTTTCCTGTATTCCCCTTCCCTTTTACCCTTCCTAACCTCTAGTAATCATTACTCTACTCTCTTTTTGATCTTTTTAAATTTCTGTATATGGTATTTGTCTTTCTGTGCTGGTCTTTATTACTTAGTTTCCTCCAGTACCTTCCTTTTTTTTCTTTTAAGTTTATTGGTACATTCAAAGCAAACAGTACAGTTATATGTATCATTGGGATCCTGTACCTTTGCATGATATATCTTGGTTCTTGTTTTTTCCCCATACCCCTGTCCTCCCTTCACTCCATTCACCAGTACCTTCCATTTTTTGCTATAAATAACAGTGTTTTATTTTTCTTTATGGCTGAATGATATTTCATAGTGCTTATATACTTGGATAGATAAACACAAATATATAATTTATATATAAACATATATATAAAAGTCACATTTTATTCATTCATCTGCTAATGGATAGCTCAGTTTAATCAGTGAATAGTGATGAAATAAACATAGGAGTATAGATATGCTCATTTCAGACCCTTTAGATGTATCGGACCTAGAAATGGGGTGGTTGGATCATGTATTTTCAGTTGTTCAAGGAGCCTCCATACTGCTCTCCATTGATGGCTGTAGTAACTTACATTCCTTCAGCCATCTGTAAGAATTCTCTTTTTCTCTGCATCCTTGCCAGTATTTATTTTTTGCTTTTATCATAATAGCCATTTTGAAGGAAGAGATACCATATTGTGATTTTGATTTGCATTTTCCCGTGGCTAGTGATTTTGAGTATTTTTTTCTATACTTGTTGGCTATTTGTGTATCTTTTCAGAAACTTCTATTCAGATCATAGGTCTATTTGTTATTTGGATTGTTTTCGGCCTTCTAAGTTCCTTATATATTCTGAATATTAATCCTTTGTCAGATGAATGTTTGCAAATAATTTCTCCAAGTTTGTATGTTGTCTTCACTTTCAATTGTTTCCTTTGCTGTACAGCATTTTGTAGTTTGATATAATCCATTTTGTTCTTGCTTTTGTTGCCTGTGCTTTTGGAGTCTTATACAAACATATCATTGCTTATACTGTTATTTTGAAATGTTTCCCCTTTTTCCTTCTAGTAGTTTAATAGTTGCAGAGCTTTTTGACTATTTTGAATGATTTTAGTATATGGTGAAAGGTGACCTTGTGTTTACAAGGCCGGTACGGCGCCACTGAGCTAAATCCCCAGGCCTTGGCACCATTTATTGAAGAGGCTGTCCTTCAGTGTATGTTTTTCATTCCTTTGTCAAAAATTAGTTGGCTATAAATGGGCTATAGATCTTTTTGGGTTTGTTTGTTTGTTTGTTTGTTTTGTTTTTCAGTACCCGGGATCAAACTCAGGTCCTTGTGCTTGCAAGGCAGGCAGCAGAACCACTGAGCCAAATCCCCGAAATCCCCGGTCCTAGATCTTTTTTTTGGTTTTTTGAGACAGGATCTTACTATGTAGTGAGACTGACCTAGAACTCCTATGTAGCCCAGGCTGGTCTCTTAACTCACAGTGATCCTCCTGCCTCAGCCTCCCAAGTGCTGGGATTATAGGCGTGCGCCACCACACCCGGCCCCTAGATCTTTTTTGTTGTTGTTTTTTGTTTGTTTGTATGGTTTTGGTTTTGGAGTCAGGATCTCACTCTGTAATTCAGGCTGGCCTTCACCTCACTTTGTAGCTCAGCCTCAAAGGATCCCATGCGTCAGCCTCCCACGAGTCCTGGATTATAGGTGTGTGCCACCATGCCCGGGTAAAGATCTTAATTTTAGGCTCGCCTTTCTGCTTCTTGGTCCATGTGTGTGTTTTTTATGCCAGTAGCATGTTGTCCTGGTTACTATGCCCCCTTGGCATGTTCTGAGATTGAGGATTGTTATGCTTCCAGCTTTTTTTTTTTTTTTTTTTTTTTTTTGCTCAAGATCAGTTTGGCTATTCAGAATCTTTTGTGTTTCTCAATATATTTTATGATTTTTTTTTCTATTTCTCTGAAGAATATCCTTGATAATTTGATGAGAATTGCTTTGAATCCGTAAATCGCTTTTAGTAGTGTGAACATTTTAACAACATTCATTCAATTCATGGACCTGGGTGGGCTTTCTATTTTTTGTGTATATCTTTCAGTGTTTTGTGATTTTTATTTTAAAGAATTGCAATGTTTATAACTTTGTACTGTTTCTTTTTTTCTGTTTTGTTTTATACTTTGTTGATCCCATGTAGGGCTTTGTACATGCTAGGCAGCCATTTTATCATGGAGCCAAATCCCTAACCTTGCATTTCTAATAAGAAAAGCTACTAATACTTTAAGTGTATAACTTGAATATAACTCAAACTATAAAATTTTTTAAAAGTCATAAGACATTACTTTTTTTGGGGGGGCGGTTTGAGACAGGGTCTCACTATGTAGTTGAGACTGACCTGGAACTCACTGTGTAGCCCAGGCTGGTCTTGAACTCACAGCGATCCTCCTGCCTCAGCTTCCCGAGTGCTGGGATTACAGGCATGTGCCACCATGCCCAGCGGTGCCCTTGAGGTGTGACACAGAATGTAATATTAGAAGGCTTCATCAAGTTGTATTTGTAGCAGTAATTCTGAAAGCTCTGTATTTAAAAATGAATTTACAGTCTATGGGTTTATCCTACACATATATGCATATATGTTCAAAGACAGATAAAGGGATGATGATTTTGTCTTTATTTCTTATTGTATGCTTGAGCAATCCTAAATTCAGTACTAGAGAGCCTGTTACATAGGCTTAGTACACACGTAAGATGGAGCCTATAAAAAAGAATGAGATAATTTATTTATATGTTGTCTTGATCTCCAAGACACAATAAAGTCAGTCAACAACAATATGAGATGTTCCTGTTTATTTGGGGGAAAGGGATGTATGTGCACAGGGACATAGATGTGTTTTTGTCTCAGTTTCTTGAAAATGATAATACTGCCTTCTTAGAGTTGTTATGTAATTCAGTGGATTATTACTACAAAGTATGCACCATATTAGTGTTAGTTGTTTTATATATTTGTGGACATCAGTTTTTGGAAGGATATATTAGAAACTGTGCTCTGAGAAAAGGACTAACTTGGATAATGGGAGACATTTTTTCAGTGATTATTTCCTATTTATATGCTATACTGTGTATTTTTTCAATTTACAAAGTTTGTCAAAATATTTGTTGGGGAAAATGAATATGATATTTAATTTAGTGATGTTTAATCATGTAAATTATTTTGTCTATGAAAATAATAACACAATTTAAAAGAAAAAGACTAAAAAAAATTGACCTACGAAACTACATTTAGCATTTTAATATTGTGAGATAGTTATAATAATATGTATAGTTTTATATTCTACACTTGCTGTATAGTTTTCATAACTGGGATTTTAAGTAGTTACATACTAAACCCAATAAGTAAACAAAATGTAATTTATTTAAACTTCCCATGTCATTTTGTACTTCAGGTTGCTGCTGTGTTTTTTATTTTGTTTTGTTTTGTTTTCTTTGTGTATTTTTGCAGTTCAGGGGATTGAACTGTGTGCCTTACGAATTCTAAGCAAGTGGTCTACCATTGAGCCACACCCCTAGCCCCATTGCTGTTTTATTTTTAGTCATTTCAGTGAATACCTAATCCAGAGTTTTTTGTAAGGAAGAACTCCAGATTTGAAGTTTTATAAATATATGTAACTTTTGGGGCATTGTAATTATACTTTTTTAATTAAGAATATTTATTAGTGGAGGCTATGAAGATTTACTGGTGAGACAATATAGTTTTTTATTTTGTTTTGTTTTTTGGTACCGGGGATCTAACTCAGGTCCTTGTGCTTGCAAGGGAGGAAGCGGAACTGCTAAGCTAAATCCCCGGCCCAAGCCAGTATAGTTTTGAGCTTTTATTTGTTTATATGAAATAAAGCACCTTTCATTTGAGTACTTACTAAGTTTTAAATTTTTATTTTTCCTGTTGGCTTTGATAATTATGGAAGCATTTTTTGACCTGATATTTTAAAATTTCAAAAATAATAATTTTTTTTTTTTTTTTGGTAACAGGGTTCAAACTCAGGACCTTGCACTTGTGAGACAGGCAGCAGAACCACTGAGCTAAATCCCTGGCCTTACCAGTCATATCTACATTCTTTTATTTCCTTTTTAAGAATAACGGATTTAGCTGTGATGAGTGAAGATACACATAATCTCCCTTTGAATTGCCTTTAAGTTTTGATTATACATGTGAATTGGTAATACATATTTATTATCATATTTGTTTATTTCAGTGGCCAAGGAAGTTTGCTCCAGCCTTTTATATACTATAGATTTCTTACTCTTCGGTACTCCTCTAGAAGAAATCCATATTGTCGGTAAGTTGATGGATGATTAGTTTAAATTTGTCTTACTTAAACTATTCACAATATACTTTTTGGTTTTTTGAGACAGGGTCTTACTGTGTAGTTGAGTCTGACCTGGAACTCACTATGTAGCCCAGGCTGGTCTCAAAATCCCAGCGATCCTCCTACCTCAGCCTCCCGAGTGCTGGGATTACAGGTGTGTGCCACCACGCCTGGCTCAATATAAAATTTTTATAACTCTTAGAAGTTATTTAGCTAATAGTTTAGAATTTGAAAGGAAGAAGTGTTTTTGTGCATTTAAGTTGTAGGCTTTAGTATTAGGCTTAATGAGGAGATGGTTGTATAGATCTCTTTGAGTTATGAAGGGGCTGTGTCCTGATAGATTTGTCCTAAGTTGGAAATACCATGAGTTGAAAATACATCTAATACACTTACCCTATCAAACAGCAACACTGGTGGCTGACTGGGTGTTGGAACTTTATGCCATTGAACAGCAACATTACAGTAAAGAGTACCATACACATATTGCTAGCCTTGGGAAAGATTAAAATTTAAAGTACAGTTCCTATTCAATGCATATCACTCATAGCATTGTAAGATTAAAAGTGAGTCAGTGTACAGTAAGACAAACTGTACATTGGGGACCACCTATATTTTTGGTAATTGATATTAGAGATACATTTGACTATTAGAGACCCCTGCCGCAGATCCCGATCTCCTGCTTGGTGCTATGATGAGTGGCAAGAAGAAAGATATAGACGCAGAATTAAAGAGACAGAGTTGGGGAACTGGGATGACTAGTGCTTGAGCAAGCAGCAAGACAGCAAGCAAAGGCCCTGAACAGCCAGAAATGTCGATATGGTCACCAGGGATACACTCCTGATGCAGGCAAAGGAGAGACAAAGCATTCTGTTAGGCTGGGAACAGAATTTAAGAGTCACTGACCTTGGCTGTATGTTATCTTGTGGGTTAGGCAGACTCACTTCTTAGAATAAGCCAGTTGTGGGGTTAAATCTTTATAGCCTGCACTGCATATAGCCTGCTTTGGGCATAATCAGTGAGGCAGTCTGCTACATTTAACTATGTTTAAAACACTGCTGACACTTAGGGAATGAAAAGATGTAAGAGATTTAAGTCTCGTTCTCAAGGAAATTCCTTCAAAATAAAGTATTTACAGGTCAATACACAGCAGTTCCCCCTTATGCACAGTTTCATTTTTTATGGTTTCAGTTGCCTGTGGTTCAAAAATATTAGTTGAGTACTAGAGATTTAGCTCAGTGACACTGTGCCTGCCTTGCAAGTGTAAGGTCCTGAGTTTGATCCCTGGAACTGGGGGAAAAAAATGGTAGGTGAGAAGTTCCATAAATAAACAATTCATAAGTTTTAAATTGTGTGCAGATCTGCGTATGGTGATACCTTGTGCTGTCCCGTTCCCTCTCATGTGGAATGTGACTCATCCCTTTTGTCTAGAATATCCATGTTGTATATTGCCTAATTTATAAATTAAGCTTATCAAAGTATGTTTGTATAGGGAAAAAACAAAGAATATGTAAGGTTTGCTATTATCTGTGGTATCAGGCATCTCTTGGTGGGGTGGGTCTCACAACATATACCCCTTGGGTAAGGGGAGATACTGTATAGTGCATTGCCCTATGTTTGCTTTATTGTATTAATGCTGTTATCCACACAAAAGAAAAGTGATTGGGCCAGAAGATAAGCCTATGAATGTTTCCCAAAATAAGATTTAAATTTGTTCTGGAAAGATTGAAACCTTTGAAAGCTGGGTGTGGTGGCGCATGCCTGTAATCCCAGCACTTGGGAGGCTGAGGCAGGAGAATCACTGTGAGTTCAGACCAGCCTGAGCTCCTTTGAATACACAGTGAGAAAAGGGGAAAACATCAGGTAGAGAGGTAGTAGCAGCTTGAATTTAGAGGGAGAAAAATATATGCCGTATTTGAGGAGCATTGAGTGTACATATTTCACTCTAATGGAGGTTCTGAATGGTGAGTTGCTGGAACTAGAACTAGAATACAAATGTTTGTAAAGCCATATCATAAAATAGGAGTTATATCTTTATGTAGGATAAGTCAGTATGTAAAGTAGAAATTGAAATGATCAGAGCTGCTTGCTTTTGATGATTTTTTAAAATCCTCTAAAAATTATAATACAGTATATGTGATTTTTAAAATATATTACCTGTCCTATGTACAGAATGTAATAAAGATTATTTTGTAGTTGGGTGGTGCATGCCTGTAATCCCAGCACTTGGGAGGCTGAGGCAGGAAGATCGCTGTGAGTTCAAGACCAGCCTGGGCTACATAGTGAGTTCCAGGTCAGTCTCAACTACATAGTGAGACCCTGTCTCAAAAAACCAAAACCAAACCAAAACAAAAAAAAAACCTTGAATTTGCCTAAATTAAATATGAAAGTTATGTGAGTTCTGTAAAGGAATCATCCCTTATTTCATTCCTCAGAGTTAGCTATTTTTCTAAATATTTTTGTTAGTTGGATTTTTTTCATCCAAAAAAAGACACAGCTGCTAATTTTAGGAATTTAATTTTGTGTATGCATGTGTTTGAGGCAGCATCTCCCTGTGTTGCCCAGACTGCTCTCTAGCTCCTAGGCTCAAGTTCCTGCCTCACCCTGTGGAGTGCTAGAACTCTATAGTTGCCATCCAGTGGGCCCACCTCATATTATGTATATTTTGTGTGTTTCCTATAATCCGTTCTAGGTTAATCTTTATTTCTGTAAATTCTTTATTGGATGTAGTGAACTTCATCAACATTTGATAGCATTATATTGCTTACTCATTATTTTTTTTTCCTTATTTTGCAGGAACTTATTTAATGAACTGAGGATTGTTGTTGAACATATAATAATGAAACCTGCCTGCCCGCTGTTTGTGAGAAGACTGTGCCTCCAGAGCATTGCCTTTATAAGCAGATTGGCACCGACAGTTGTGTAGTTTATCATCTAGTTAAGCAGTGTATGTAACATAAGCATTATTAGCAGCTGGTACTTCTGCTAGGGTTCATAAATTCCAGGTCTTAAGCTGACCACGATCCAATTTATATAATTTACATAAAGGCATTTCATTGGAAAAATAATTTCCCTGGCATGTTAAATCAAGCCTTTTTAATAAAAATTTCTGAGAAAATATTACTGTGCTCTGTGGCTAATGGATAAGGAAGTTTGCATCTAGTGGTAAATATACCAGATTTTTTTAGATGCTGCTGTACCTGTATCATGAAATACATTTATTTCATGTAAAGCTAGTTCTGAAATTTGTTTCACCCTAATTAATAATCTGAGTTTATATCTAGCATGAGTTCAGAATGTTAACAACGTGAATTCAGTGTACTTTGAGACAGTATTCTTTTTTCATCCCTTCAGTAATTTTGGTTGATGATTTTTAACAAATTATTCTAACTATAATTTTATTTCAAATTGTTACTGATTTTTTTGCTGCCTTGCTAAGACAGCTGTTAGGGGGTCACATAACTATTTTCTATCAGAAAGTAGTAGTTACACAGCTTCCCTTTTAGAGACCCATTGAGTAACATTTGTTGAATAGAAAAACCCTTTTACAAATGTGAACAGATAGGTTATTAGTATAATTATAGTTCGTAGAATTATCAAGTTCAGATTCTTTTTTTTTTTAAAGTTCAGATTCTTGACTCTAGTATTTTTTATCTCTTAGGCTTGAATTTTCCTAGACAGTTGCAACAGTTCAGATGCTCTGTAAAAGGAATGTAATTGAAGATTGAGAATATGTGACTATACTCATGTCTTATGAAATAATAATGAAGGGTATCCTGCACATTACATATTTTCCCATCAAATTTGGTTTGAAAGGTTAAATGGCAAGGTTTATAGGTAAGGCAGTTCATTGAGAGTATGAGGGAGGAGTTGTGAGGAGTAGTGTGCATTTCAATTTCATAGTGCTATGACTGGGGGAATCGGAGATAGTATGAAACTGTGACTTGGGTAGTGTAATATGTTCAATCCTGTTCATTGGGCTCCCATCAACTGCTTTATAAAATTTATTCTGATCCTTACTACTATTGCATGATTGGAAATGTTTAAAACATTGCACAATTTTTAAAATGAAAAGGTTTTTGTAACCAGTTTTCTTCTATCTGCATGTCATTTGGATTTTTCAAATACATTCTTTAGTGACTAAGCAGTAACATTTTTCCTTTTGTTCAACTTCCTAGTTTATAGAAAGGTGATATTCTTAGGATAGATTATCAGAAAAATTCCACTTGGTAACTTAACTATAACTGGCTATTTTTGTATTTTTGTAATTATCCACTAAATTGGATAAACAACCTCATAATATACAGTTGATTTTGTATGTGTGTATGGCTAGCCTTATTACTATTTATGTAATTGATGGTTTTAAGAATTAAACTTTTTAGAGTAATAAAGTGACTATAATATTAAGTAAACATACTGATTTCTAATGATGTTTTAAAATACTTTCTTAAATTTCATCAAATTTTGGCAGCTGAAGGCACATTCTGAAAGGTTTTTTTCCTACATTTTTTTTTAATCTGAAGATAATTTTACTTATAGAAGAATTTCAAAACTAGTGCCAAGAGTTCCTGTATGCCCTTTACTCAGCTTCCTATTATGTTAATGTCTTATATAACTGGTAGAAGATTTGTCTAAAGTAAGAAATTAACCCTGAAACTGTACTATTAAGTAAAGTACAAAACTTATTTGGATTTCCTGTTTTTCTGTTTCTTATGTGGTCTGTTTGTAACTTGATTATCTTTTACTTTTTTTTTTGGTACCAGGAATCAAACTCAGGACCTTGCGCTTATGAGGTGCACTTCCATTGAGCTAAATCCCCAGCCCTCTTATGTTTTACTTTTAAAGGTTATATCTATGTTTGAGTCTTTCTTCATTTTTAAAGTTACTGCTGATCGAAAAGATTTCCCTAAAATAAGTATTTCATGTTGGTTTTAACAAAAATAATTTCAAAACTACAACAATTTCAAATACCTTGTGATTTAATTAAGTTTTTAAATCATATAGCAGAATTTAATACTTCTGATATGCTTATGTTTGAATGAAGGCACAGATTTATTCCTTACTGGAAGGCTTATTATATAATGCTCTTAAACCCACAAACAATTAAGTTTTACAATTTGAGCATGATTAGATATTTAGTTTGCATGAAATTAGTAGTTAGAAATTCTGCATTGTGAATATTTACAAGCAGCTTACCAGGCAACTGAAATTATAGTATTGCATGTATCAAAGAAATATAATAGCAATATATAGATAGGATAAATGTGATAGCAGAAATTAAGTCTTTCTGCATTACTAAACTTATTTTTTTCTTACAGGTTTAAAAGGAGTTGATTTAACTTCCAGAGTATCTAATTCTTTAGGAAATGGTGTAGTGCAGTTATGGCACATGTGCCACAGCAGGCTGTTTGTATCATTGAAAGCTCTAAAAGGTTTACTGGTAGAGTGCATAACCCTTTTGCACAGTTATAAGCCTCATTCAAAACCTACTTTATTCTAGCAAATATTCTGTATTCTTTTTTTTTTTTGCATTCTTTTTGTATACTTGATTTTTCATTAATTTAAACCATATGTAATGTTAGTCTAAAGAGAAATTACTCTAGTACAATTTGTATTTAAGTTTTCTTGGTATAAAATTCACCAGGGTACATTCTTCTTTAAAAAAGCAAGAAATCTTTTTTAAAAATTGCATTACAAGCCAGACATGGTGATACCTATAATTCCAGCACTTGGGAGACTGAGACAGAAGACAGATTTACAAATTTGAGCCCAGCCTGGGCAGCTTACCAAGACTATGTCTTAAAATTAAAAAAAAAAAAATTAATAAAGGGGGCAGGAGATGTAGCTCAGTGCAAAGACTGGGTTTAAATC